AGCAAGACGCGTAGCTCGTGAAGAAGAGACGCGTTTTCGAATGATACTGCGCACCGGAGAATAATTGAGCAGCGGGAGGTACAAACTGCTGGGTCCGCAAATTTGGTAAAGGCTGGAGGTACCATGGAGTAGCTCTCATGTCGCAGACACGTTGACATATGATAAAGTAAGTTAACTGAATGTGTGTGTGTGTGTGTGTGAGAGAGAGAGAGAGAGCGAGAGAGAGTAAGAGAGCGAGAGAGAACGAGAGAGAGCAAGAGAGAATGAGAGAACGAGAGAGAACGAGAGAATGAGCGAGAGAGTGAGCGAGAGAGAGCGAGAGAGAGCGAGAGAATGAGCGAGAGAGTGAGCGAGAGAGTGAGCGATAGAGAGCGCGAGTGAGAGCGAGAGAGTGTGAGGGAGCGAGAGCGAGAGGCAGAGAGAGATTTCATGTAAAGTAAAATTATTTTGTTTGTGACGTGAATGTTGCCGAGGAATGGACATGGATTGTCTAGATACGACGAACAAGAGAGCTGAGGAACGCAAAACGGAAGTGGAACATTAGAGGTATAGTTTTGTTTCTGATATGTAAGAAGGCCAATATTTAGAATAGAAATAATAATATAAACAGCGGCGTAAGTTCCATAGGGACCGACAGCGCCATGTCCGGGCGCCGCAATGGTTCGGAGGTCACCCTTGGTCTGTTAAAATCACAGAAAATATCAATGAAGTGCCGTTTTCTGTCTATTGTAATGGACACATATCAAAACGTATCAAAAGTTGACCAATTAAATGAAACTCTTTACTATACGAAACCATCGAGAAAAATGCCGATTAACATACAAGTTAATGAATATTTCATAGGGTTTAAGAAAATCAAAGATCAATCAGCACAAGAGTTGCATTATGATGTTGTCGAGAACATTGAAGAACAAGGCATTGCTTTATCCAAATGAAGATCTCAAGTTCATCATAGCGCAGCTTTTACGAGTGGTAGTTACAATGGTATTCCGAAAAAAAATTAGGTGAAGTTGACAATACATTGTTTGTACATTGTGGTGCCCATATTTTAAATATTATGGTTAATGATGCCGTGAATGATGTTCAAACATTTA